CATGGAAGCTCTGGGTTCCCGCCGAGCTGCGTCCTGATTTAGTCTGGAGAGCACATCATGCCATAACCGCAGGGCATGGGGGGTTGCACAAATCACTAGCCAAATTGAGACAGTTTTACTATTGGCCAGGCATGGCTGTAGACATCCAAAAAGTAGTGAAGGAATGCGAGGTCTGTAAGATCACCAAGACCGCCAACAAAAATGACCGACCACCCATGGGAGAACAGCGGGTTACGGAGCGGGCTGGCCAAAGGTTGTTCATCGACTTTATGTGACCATACCCGAGGACCAAAGCTGGGAACTCGGTGATTTTGTATGCCTAGACCATTTCTCCAAATTTGTCTGGCTACAGCCGATGAGACATGCAGTAGCTGCAGAAGTCATCAAATTCCTGGAGACCAAAATTTTCCATCAATTTGGAGTCCCCGAGTTTGTACACTCAGACAACGGCAAACAGTTTGTGTCTCAAATTTTTGGCGAGCTAATGACCCGCTACGGTATTCGACACGTAAAGACTGAACTTTACTCCCCGCAAGCGAACGCGGCTGAGAGGGTAAACCGATCTGTACTCAAAATTTTGCGAGCCTCTGAACGTAATCCGACGACTCCAAAAGGCGACAAACTCAGAACTGCGAGATTGCACTACTTGATAGAAGCTCCCGATCACATGATGGGTAGAACAGTCATCAGAACTGCCCCAGTTCTGCTATAAAAGCCACAACCAGGGACCGACCAGTCACCAGACATGATGCAGTCCTCAAACACTTATAACCAAGCCATCCGAGCTGCCCGCCGGCTCGTCGGCTACAGGTTAGGTACGGGGACCAGGCATCAAATCTGGCGCTCCTCGTCGAGTGGATGAACGGGCTTTGCCATACCATCCACTTGAACGAGGACCATATCCAGCAATGCTGGATACACCGATACCAGTCAGAAGATGAAGAACTGGCATCTGAACTCGAGCAAGAGATCCGGCACCGGTGCCGAGATCAGGAGGAGGACCAGAACCAGTTGCTCCGAGTCCAGGAGCAACTACAAAGGAGCCAAGCACACATCGCCCGGATACAACGGGAAACATGGAAAATGAGCCGGCGCATGAACCGCGCGGTCAGAAGACTTTACATTCGAAGCCCTCAACTTGGTATCCAGGCGAGGCGAGAAGTAGCAGCCATCATGAAAGAGCCGCTAAACTTAGATTAAAACAGTGTAATTAATATAAAATGTTAAGCATATTAAAATAAAAATAATAAAAAAAAAACAATGAAAAAAAAAAAAAATTCTTATACTTTTAATATATCTTTCTTCGGGAAATGGGAAACCTTTTTATCCAACTTTTCACTTTTCAGCTGAGCAGCCCCTAGTCAAAAACCATGGTTATGGCACACTCAGCAATTTTATTCTCAACTTTTTAGCTGTTACTCACTTCTGATTTTTATATATATATTTATATATTATTTTTCATTAAAACTATATTATATATTTTATTATGAGCCATATTTTTATTTACAGGTATAAATATGTATGTATGTATGTTTCCGTGCGAGGCCGGAAAGCTTTTCTTTTTCAGCATATATAATAATAAAATAAACAAGTACAATATTAAAACAATAAAGTAATAAGCCCGACTAGCTCATCTGAGACTGGGTTGATGTAGTGGGTCGAAGCCACACGTAAATGGGCGCCTAAGAAAAGAATAAAGGAGAAGAAGGAGATCTAAAGAGATGGCCGTACGAAGATTTCTTTTGCGAAGTCATTCCATGCGAAGCCGCATCGATCACTTCGAGCCTGTTACGTACGCCCTCCCCCATACCAAGATTAACCCCGGCAAAACAACTGCCATTAGTTGAGGGTAGGGGCCGTAATAACTAACCACACTTCGATTGATAAAAGCAAAAACAGCAAAAACAATTCGACAACTCATGGGTGTCGCGTGGCCAGAACGACGACCACGATCGACCTGCTCGTAACCGTACTCCAATAAGGTGGCAAAGTGCACCAGCCGGCCATTGACTCCTAAAATAGGGGAAATGGAGAAACAGTACCCCTAGGTGGGAACACCTAGTTAATTCATCCAATATGGGGGGCTAGCGAAAGCTCTAGTCCGGTATAAAAGACCCCAGCCAAATGGAGAAGAGACAGAACTTGTTCTGATCTCCTCCTGATGGTGGTCTAGAAGTATAACTCCCAACGACACAGACCACGACTGGAAGAAAGCTGGTGTCCAGAAGGATGTCTTGACGTTTCCCTAGGATCAACTTCACCCAGGAGAAAGTCCCGATAACCGGTCGTGCGATCGACCACAATCTGGAGAAAGTCAACCTGCAAAATCTTGAAGGACGAAAAGAACTAGCGAACCAAGTGAATGCCCTAAGGAACCCAAGATGGGTAGCAAAACGTCTAAAGTGGCCGGCAGCACCGCCAATGTGATTAACACAGTAGAGATCGTTGACCACAAAGATGATATTCAGGATGTCAACAAGACCATGAAGCTCATCGTTGGACTACTCCTGGTTATAGTGCTCCTTAAGGTTGTAAAGATCTACAAGCGCTCTGTTCAGAGACGCCGCGACCAACATCATGCCCTGGAGAAAGTGGTGACTCACATTGGAGCATAAGCCAAGCAGATACAGTGAAGTGAAGCAGCAAAAAGACAATAGAAACAATAAAGTAATAATAAATAAATTGCACTCCAATATTGTAAACCAAAAAGTGAATCGCCACAAACAATCACAAACAATTTGCAAGTACATGCATTTCTGAATGCAAGTGTAAACAAAACCCCCAATTACCTACGCTGAACAAGAAATTGGAGCGGCACCGACCAGCCCCCAGCTCGAGCATTGGAACCGACGTGCGCCGCAGTGGAGCTCGCATACGATGCATGCATACATACATATCTATACAGCAATAGTGTTATTTTTTTTGTGTAACATAATTTTTGTGTTTTGTTTTTGTAAGCCGCCTTCAAGTCTTGCACGTATATATGTATATAAACCAATTATAAAATCTCCCAAAGCCCAGGATCCGGAGCGTCGAGATCTCATCGCCCAGGATTAAAAAGAGGGTAAGTTTGTCGGAACACGGTTCCTTTTCTTATACATACATATATATATATATATATATATATATATCCGTGCATGATTACATCAGAAGCTTTAGCAAAAACAATAGACACTGATCCACAATTTAACGTAAGAATTTTATACCTGTTATCAAAAGCGACCCTACCAATAACAGTGAATGAATTGGAATACTTATATATTGAGACCTTCCGTCTAGATTTTTCTCCACTTGCCCACTGTAATAAGACCGAAAAAGCTATCATTATCTCTACCGTTCCAACGGTCATTGTTCTCTCCCGTCTGGATAAGAATTTGTTTTTGGGCAATGTTAATACTTTCCTAGTTAACACAAAGAATTAATCTGTTAGGAATACATGTAATAATATATAATATCCACATATAATAATTGTTTCATATATATAATCATTTAGATATACTTTTCTTTTTATACCTTTTTTATACATAATAATTAAATGTTAATTTTTCAGCGGCGAGTATCAGCCTTGTAATTGTATGACAATTGCAAGAGCCCTCTGAGCGACGTTTGTAGTCGTGAATAGTCAGCATTTTGCTAATGTGTGCACCTTCAAAGGTGGTCAAATCGATACTCTCCGCTAATACAATAATTGTCAATTAATTTAATCCCTATATGAATTAACCAATATTATGTTATTCAACACCGGCACACGCCGACATAAATATTATTTAATAAATTTATAATGTGAAAAAGAATTGAAAACCATGGCGTGCTAGAACTATAACAAAGGGGGTGTGCTGACGCGAGGAGTGAAGTAGGTCAAGAACAATGACATAACTTTCGACGGACAACCTTGACAATAGGGGATCGTATTGCGCGGCCCGCGACGATCCATTAGCACACGAATGTGTGAAGGGGAGGGAATATGGCCAAAACACAGCCCGATCGTATTGCGATCAAGCGACAGCTAAGCTTGTTGGGCAGTGTGGACTGATGACTGACGAACTTGATGACTATTATTATTTTTCCAGGCACTTTAATATTTATTCTCGTTATGTTGGAGAAGAGAGAGGCTTACCAAGATCCCACGACCCGAATACGACGTAGCTTATGCCGGCAAATGGTGCCTAAACATCGGACGCCTCTCCCTCGGCCCAAGTCCTTGTCAGGACTCGGGCACTAATATGCCCACGTAACAATTTTTTATCTAAAAAAAAAGACATTTAAAGAGTCATTAACCTCACAAAATTGTTGCCTACAATTAATATGTTAATTACAATGAATTAACCATTTGACGCTGAACACTTTCGACATGTCAGTTTTTAATATGTATTCATTTTTGAGATGTTTTCTATTTTTTTCAGAGCAACTGAACTTTCACGTCCACTCCCTTTGGATACGGTTTCCTATGCCGATCAGCTGTTCGCTTCAGGAATTTTCTATGTGAACAAGAATACGATTAAAAATTAAGAGGGTATATAACACCGCTAACTATATCAAAACACGTTACACATCGGATGCAATTAGAGGCCTAATTTAATAAAGACTTATATACACGAAAACATATTTGTTTTAAAAAAGGAAGTACTTGAATAGTTCTTAAATGAATTGTAATAAAATAGATTGCATTAAAAATTATGTAAATATATGTATGGGTCAAGAGTGGGTTTCATATCCTTGCATAAGAAGCTTAAATTCAGGAAATTAATAAAATATTTAATAAAATTCAGGGGCATTTATGTTCGCGCGGCTCACCGACCGAATTCAGCGCTAGAGCACCTTGCGCACGACAGCGGTACTACTGACCATGTCTAAGCTGGTTTAACGTAGTTAGCCATAACTTGTAAAATAACAATGTGATTGGTTCGATTCTACAAATTTAGAGAGGTATTACCAACTTAAATCGGGTTTAATCAATAAAAATGTGGGCGCCAGGCAGACTTTAGCGTTAAAGAAGATTGTGAGCTTGTCACTCCTTTGAAACAAACTTGCACTTTCTCAGAACCATTAGAACCTGTATGCTTAATCCCAACATCAAGGACTTATAACTCAGCGTTCATAGGAAGGGGCAGACAGACATGGCTAGATCGACTCGGCTAGTGAACACTTCCTTCTACCTGCCGTGCACGTTCCTACTTAAATAATCGACCCTTTTACTCTACGAGTAACGGGTATAATCGTCGTCGGTTCTATTTTTCAGCGCGGTACTCAGATAAGCTAGGGAAATACCAGAAAAAAAACCAGATTTAGCGAATGAGTTTCGATGAACGCCCTTAGCTGCGGCCCAAAGAATAAGAAATTTAATCTTAAGCGGTGTTCGTGCAAAGGCGGTGTGGAAACTATAAATTAAAAACGGAAGGACAACCCCGAAATCGACTGCAGGAGGTCAGTGCAGATGAAATAGGACGCCTAATCCAAGCTGTTGCCCATTATTGTGGGATTTCACCGACAGGAAGCAATACCACAACGGGGCAAATCCGCAGAATAGTTGCAGTGCTGGAGGATATTCCCAAGGGAGTCCCAGTGACATTTTGCCGTGTCCTCGCAAAGAAAGTAAGATCTGACCAAAAGAATTTGGTTGAGTTATAACAATAGAAATATTTTTTTTAGCAGAACCACCCGTATTACGATCGCCGACGACCTCTCCATTAGGACTGCGGATACCACCACCATCAGCTACTTGGCAGCTTATGCGGAGCTGGAGGACCCGCTGGCTTCTATAGGGAGGAGGAAAATAGGACGCCCGCTAAGGAACAGTTGTAGAAGCCATTGCCAGGATGCTGGGCGACTTTCTGCAGCATCATGGGACGAGAAGGACGCTTAAAAATACTAATATTATTTACTAATTTAATTACTATTTTCATTTTAGTTTTTTGAGCACCAGCAGACTCTTCTTTTTTAAATTGTTCCAATTGATTTCTTTTGCGTTTGGCAACAAACCCAACTGCTTGACAGTAAGACCATGCTACATGCATTGTGGGTGAACTTTCAAATATTCGGTCCCATGGGTAAATGTCTTGGGAAGTGAGACTGACGGATGTGACCGTGCAACTTGCCGTAACTAGAGCTCCAATTAATTATTTCGAAATCGTAAGGAAGCCGCGTGTGTTCCCAAAGAGTAAATGTCTCGGGAAGCGAGGCTGGCCAGTGTGACCGTGCAAGAAAACGACAGCATTGAAACCACTCTTGACCACTCTTTTTATTTTTTAATTTTTTTGATATTTGGGGATCAAATTGAATTGTTTAGAAAGAAAAGATCTATCGATCTAGGTAAGTTTGGGACAGATCCGAGGCCTATTAATTTTTCAAAAATACATTTGAAACACGATTTATCAATTGCATTTTTGAAAAATTAATAGGCCTCGGATTTGCTAAAAGCCTACCTAGATCGTTAGATATCTTCTTTTGGACAAATTTGTTCGATTTGGTTCCCCATAAGCGAGAAAATTTAATAATAAAAAGAGCCCCATGGTCGACGCTAATTTAACGGACATCAACAATTTCCTTATAACGGTGTAATCGCAGTTCAAATGCATTTCCTTCTTAGAAAATTCTGAAACTCCAAGTAAAACAAGGAAGAACGCTATAATCGTGTAGATATCCATCAGCTAAAGGTACCAAAGGGGACCACAACGAGATTGAAACGCGCCACCTACACACAGAACTAAGAATTATGGGCGCTAAAGTGGGTGTGGCAAACTTTTTTTTGGGTCGATCGATAGGTATAGACGAGACTAAAACATATCAGTTACAATTTTTTTCTAGCATGAAAATTGTGGGCGCTACAGGCTCAGGCGGCTTGTGGGCGTTAAAGTGGGCATGGCATATTCGCGTGACAAACTTGCGCTGCGTACAAGGCTACGGAATCTAAATCTGAAATCCCAATTCTCTATCTTTGATAGTTTCTGAGATATCTGCGTTCATACTTACGATTTTTTGAAGTTAGTGGGCGGTTTGTGGGCGTTAAAGTGGGCCAACTTTTTTTTTGGTCATAGCTATTGATGAGAAAAATACGTTTCAGTTAAAATTTTTATTCTAGCTTCAAAACTGTAGGAGCCACAGTTTTGGTCGGTTTGTGGGCGTTAAAGTGAGCGTGGCACCTTGCTGAAACAAACTTGCGCTGCGCAAAAAACTCAGGAATCTGCATGCCAAATCCCGATCGCCAAGCACTTATAGTTTCCGAGATCTCAGCGTTCATACGGACAAACAAACTGACATACATGGCTAGATCGACTCGGCTAGTGATCCTGATAAAGAATATATACACTTTATGGGGTCGGAAACGCTTCCTTCTGCTTGTTACATACTTTCCGACAAATCTAGTATACCCTTTTACTCTGACTTCTGTACTTGGCGTTTTAGTATTTTATTGAGAAGTAAATCCGATTGAACTGCAATGGTGCCGTTATATGGAAATTGTTGTTAGTGAAGGCCCATGGAGCCTTCCAACGCATGGAAACCAGCAATTGATTTGAATAGAAGCATTGCAGTGCTATTTTTTAAGTTATAACAAACCTCAAGCTGATGTCCTTCTTGAAAGACCTGGCCCTATTGCACAAAAACGTACATTTTGTTACGTACGCCCTCCCCCATACCAAGATTAACCCCGGCAAAACAACTGCCATTAGTTGAGGGTAGGGGCCGTAATAACTAACCAAATGGAGAAGAGACAGAAATTGTTCTAAAGTGTCCGGCAGCACCGCCAATGTGATTAACACAGTAGAGATCGTTGACCACAAAGATGATATTCAGGATGTCAACAAGACCATGAAGCTCATCGTTGGACTACTCCTGGTTATAGTGCTCCTTAAGGTTGTAAAGATCTACAGCGCTCTGTTCAGAGACGCCGCGACCAACATCATGCCCTGGAGAAAGTGGTGACTCACATTGGAGCATAAGCCAAGCAGATACAGTGAAGTGAAGCAGCAAAAAGACAATAGAAACAATAAAGTAATAATAAATAAATTGCACTCCAATATTGTAAACCAAAAAGTGAATCGCCACAAACAATCACAAACAATTTGCAAGTACATGCATTTCTGAATGCAAGTGTAAACAAAACCCCCAATTACCTACGCTGAACAAGAAATTGGAGCGGCACCGACCAGCCCCCAGCTCGAGCATTGGAACCGACGTGCGCCGCAGTGGAGCTCGCATACGATGCATGCATACATACATATCTATACAGCAATAGTGTTATTTTTTTTGTGTAACATAATTTTTGTGTTTTGTTTTTGTGAGCCGCCTTCAAGTCTTGCACGTATATATGTATATAAACCAATTATAAAATCTCCCAAAGCCCAGGATCCGGAGCGTCGAGATCTCATCGCCCAGGATTAAAAAGAGGGTAAGTTTGTCGGAACACGGTTCCTTTTCTTATACATACATATATATATATGTATATCCGTGCACCATGATTACATCAAAAGCTTTAGCAAAAACAATAGACACTGATCCACAATTTAACGTAAGAATTTTATACCTGTTATCAAAAGCGACCCTACCAATAACAGTAAATGAATTGGAATACTTATATATTGAGACCTTCCGTCTAGATTTTTCTCCACTTGCCCACTGTAATAAGACCGAAAAAGCTATCATTATCTCTACCGTTCCAACGGTCATTGTTCTCTCCCGTCTGGATAAGAATTTGTTTTTGGGCAATGTTAATACTTTCCTAGTTAAGACAAAGAATTAATCTGTTAGGAATACATGTAATAATATATAATATCCACATATAATAATTGTTTTATATATATAATCATTTAGATATACTTTTCTTTTTATACCTTTTTTTATACATAATAATTAAATGTTCATTTTTCAGCGGCGAGTATCAGCCTTGTAATAGTATGACAATTGCAAGAGCCCTCTGAGCGACGTTTGTAGTCGTGAATAGTCATACAATAATTGTCAATTAATTTAATCCCTATATGAATTAACCAATATTATGTTATTCAACACCGGCACACGCCGACAAAAATATTATTTAATAAATTTATAATGTGAAAAAGAATTGAAAACCATGGCGTGCTAGAACTATAACAAAGGGGGTGTGCTGACGCGAGGAGCGAAGTAGGTCAAGAACAATGACATAACTTTCGACGGACAACCTTGACAATAGGGGATCGTGTTGCGCGGCCCGCGACGATCCATTGGCACTCGAATGTGTGAAGGGGAGGGAATATGGCCAAAACACAGCCCGATCGTATTGCGATCAAGCGACAGCAGTTGGGCAGTGTAGACTGATGACTGACGAACTTGATGACTATTATTATTTTTCCAGGCACTTTTAATATTTATTCTCGTTATGTTCGAGAGGAGAGAAGCTTACCAAGATCCCACGACCCGAATACGACGTAGCTTATGCCGGCGAATGGTGCCTGAACATCGGACGCCTCTCCCTCGGCCCAAGTCCTTGTCAGGACTCGGACACTAATAAGCCCACGTAACAGAATTGGCGCCCATGGATAGGATTTTTCATATTCCTTAAGGAATTTTACCAGGGTCAACCATCTCGATGCCTGCGGTGTCGGAGTGGATGCACCTAAGTATGGCAAATCTTTCATCCTTTTTGCCATAGGTAATTTGACTGTTTTTTTTAGAGCAGGGAGATTAAATAATTTTAAATGTACGCGTACTTATTTATTTGTCGAGCTAGTAACTGTAAAGTCCCCAACTTCTGTGACTGTCAGTGTTGAGCGGCCGCTCAATCATAACTTTGTCGCAGAATAGAGGCCTGACTTTGAAATGTTTTTAACCTTAAAAATTCTCTGTTTTGTTCATGGACAAATTTACCAGAATTTCCTTAAAACAAGAACTATGAGTTATCCTTTTTTTAATACTATACCTACAACAAAGTGTCGACCAACTACTTGTTAAAATTAACGTAAATACAATTTATAGGTGCTTTCTGGCTGACGCCCCACGACGTACTAGGCATTTGTCCGGTCGTTTGATTGGTTCGAGTCCAGAAAGAGCAGGAGCGCAAACATTACGGTAACGCATTTAGCAGTTGCGGTGCGGATCTACTGTTCGTTTGTCGATCCAGGACAGAATGGGGATGGGGCAACTGACAGAAAACGCAAAGCCGACGCCCCACAACGTACTAGGCATTTGTCCGGTCGTTTGCTTGGTTCGAGTCTTTGCGGTTTCTCTTGACATATTTGGGCGGTGGACGATTTTTAGTTTCTCTGGCCGACGCCCCACAACGTATTAGGCTAGTTGGTCAGATCGTTTGCTTGGTTCGAGTCCAGAGAAATAGGAGACGGTTGTGAAGCCCGAGAATGATCGGTCAAATAACTTGTTTTCCGACGACTGGCGGGAGGGGGTTTTTGGACAGATTCCTTATCTAAACACAGCCATTCCGTTTGGAAATGTTCCAAATAGAAAGGTAAAGTAAGGGCATGATAGCTTAGCGGAACCGCGTTGTGTAGAAGCGGCTAACACCCCTAGTAAGGGAAATTTATTTTATTTTTGTTTGGGGCTTACATATCGGACGGTTCTTGACCGAAGAGAAACTTGAGAAGCAGAAGGAAGCACCCCCAGTTGATAAACATTCTTATTGTCGACTTATTCAGCGTTTACGTCGCTGACCGGGTATTTTGAAAAGAATCACGTAAAGCTTTTATACCAATCGTATAAATGAAGGGGGCCAAGAAGAAGGTCCTATTCCAACCCAGCACCGAAAGAGTGACCCGGGCAACAACGCGCGGTGAAAAT